GGTATACATTTTAATTGGCAAAGGTTCTACAGACGAACGCCATCCAATAGTAAAACATTTGGATAAGGCTGGCTGGTAGGTCAGAGGGCAAGCAAGAAGATAAACGTAGAAACGAAAAAAAGTGAGTTCCTATCGATATTAAGAGATAATATTATTTTAGAGACTTTCGTCTTATATGAAAGTGCATGATGAAGAGATTCGTAGGTCGACCTCATCAGAAGACGACGGCTAATTTTCGTTGTACTGCAGGCTTCAATACGACTTTCAGGTTGACGGGGTCCAATACCATCCTTCCTCGCTTCGGGCGAAAACTGTCTTAGCTCCCGTTCCTCATATGACGAACATTATCAGATCTGGGACTCATTCCTGCAAGTCTCAAGTCCCTTTGACTTGATAAGTGTTCTGATGATGGTTGAACCAAGCTATTTACGCGCCAAGGGAGCTCAACTAACCTCATTAATATAAACAAACATCTGGATAGTCCACCATACCGAACACCCTTTGGATAACAAAATATTGTGGTCTCGGATTACTTGAATTCTGGTACACCTAATCAACAGATAACCTTTTCACTCTTAGCACCAGACTACAACTAGTCAAAGTGACAAGTGGATTCGATCCTCCGTCCAATTTTCAGCTAAACAGTTGTGGTATCTTTCCTTCTGTCCTGGGCTATTCACCAATCCTATATCCTCGTATCACCCTTCCAATATCACAATTTATTAATTGTTTATCTAAGCCTATTTGAAGCCCATTCACACTTCCCGCTGGCTTCTACATCCCTCACACCGTGCCGAGAGTGTTGATCCAAGGTTGCAGTTTAATCCGCAATCCTCTCCCCTCGGGTCCCATCAGTCCCCTCTTGTTCCGTAGGATCATTGCCTTGTCTGCCTGTTTCAGTCATTTCACGCCATCACTGCCACCGCATCCGTGCTACTTTCAAAACGTTGCTCTACGCTCCGCCACAAGCTTTTGCTGGCGCGGATGCACCAGCCTTACTGAGCAAGCCCCTGAAGCCTGAGGTCTCAATTGGCATGACAAGCTAATTAAACTTTGGAGATTTCCTTATCGTGTGCGGAATGTGCACCGAGTAAATGTCGTTGTCAAGCCTTTACTTCATGGACCATGTCTATGAGCAAACTTATCTACTAATAGCCAAATATAGATGGCCACCACCGTTTACCTGGCTCTTCTGTGCCATTCTATTGCGAGCCAATCCCCAAATGCGATGGTTTTACTTGATTTAAATAGGCTCACTGTAGACGCCTTATCTTGGTTTCCGATTGTTCCTCTCTGGTCTGATGATTTCTTTTCTTAAAATTAAAAATAATACTTTTTTCCAGTCGTCTTCTTTTTGCTATTCCTTTATCTTCTCCGAGTTTGCTTAGGCGGTATGAAAAGTTTTCGCTAATCCTGCCCTCTTCAAGTCTCCCGTTCACTGGGTTACTTTCAGTCAGGATATCAATGGCCTCTCGTAGCTTGTGTTTTCTTGTACTTCCACCATATGCAGCCAGTC